TAAGTAGAATATAAGCACTAAGTGATATACATAGAGTCTAGGGATAATACAGAATAGTGGGTAGTATATAAACATAATATATAAGAATAAGTAAACACTAAGTGGATAAAGTATACATAGAAGGTAATAAGGTAATAAAGGAATAAGTTATAAAGGTATAAAGGTATAAAGGTATAAAGGTATAAAGGTATAAAGGTATAAAGGTATAAAAGTATAAAAGTATAAAAGTATAAAAGTATAAAATACTTATGATATAAAATAAGTAATAATACATAAGTATAGATAATAAGATATATAATAATAATAAGAAATATAATAATAATAATAATAAATATAATAAATATAATAGATAAATAGGAATAGTTAATAATAGATAAGAATAGATAATATAACATAATATAAGTAGAAATTAGAGTCTAGGTAGTTAAAGTATAGAGATATAGTGGTAAAAAGGGCTTCGCCGGGAATCGAACCCGGGCCACCCGCACCCAAAGCGGGTATTTTACCACTTAACTACAAAGCCATCACAAAGGATATAACAGCACATATATGTTCATAGTATATAGTGATATAGTCATATAGTCATATAGTCATATAAACATATAGTGATATAGTGATATAAACATATAGTCATATAGTCATATAAACATATAAACATATAAACATATAAACATATAAACATATAGTCATATAAACATATAGTCATATAAACATATAGGTATATAGTGATATATACATATAAACATATAAACATATAGTCATATAGTCATATATACATATAAACATATAATGATATAGTGATATAGGTATAAAAGTACAAGGAATAGTGTAGAAGTTAAAAAGATAGATGTATATAGTAGAATATAAGTAGAATATAAGCACTAAGTGATATACATAGAGTCTAGGGATAATACAGAATAGTGGGTAGTATATAAACATAATATATAAGAATAAGTAAACACTAAGTGGATAAAGTATACATAGAAGGTAATAAGGTAATAAAGGAATAAGTTATAAAGGTATAAAGGTATAAAGGTATAAAGGTATAAAGGTATAAAGGTATAAAGGTATAAAAGTATAAAAGTATAAAAGTATAAAAGTATAAAATACTTATGATATAAAATAAGTAATAATACATAAGTATAGATAATAAGATATATAATAATAATAAGAAATATAATAATAATAATAATAAATATAATAAATATAATAGATAAATAGGAATAGTTAATAATAGATAAGAATAGATAATATAACATAATATAAGTAGAAATTAGAGTCTAGGTAGTTAAAGTATAGAGATATAGTGGTAAAAAGGGCTTCGCCGGGAATCGAACCCGGGCCACCCGCACCCAAAGCGGGTATTTTACCACTTAACTACAAAGCCATCACAAAGGATATAACAGCACATATATGTTCATAGTATATAGTGATATAGTCATATAGTCATATAGTCATATAAACATATAGTGATATAGTGATATAAACATATAGTCATATAGTCATATAAACATATAAACATATAAACATATAAACATATAAACATATAGTCATATAAACATATAGTCATATAAACATATAGGTATATAGTGATATATACATATAAACATATAAACATATAGTCATATAGTCATATATACATATAAACA